AAAAAAAAAAAAAAAAAAAAAAAAAAAAAAAAGAAGAAGAAGAAAATACCTTGTAATTCTGCTTGAAGAACGTATTCCTGATCAGTCTGAAACCAATCAATTGAAGATTTCCCAGAGCTGCGGAGGGCTGACATCAACAGATCGGACTCAAACTCCCAGAGCGGAAAGGCATCGGCGGGGTCGAAGAACTTCCCGAACAGCAGCGGGCTGAACAAGGAGCCCTCGCCCAACACCTTCTGCACACCCGAATTGGGTTGCCCCACAAATCTGCTGAAAACCTCTTCTCCAAGAGCCACACTCCATTTTGAAGGGCTGTGGTCTGCTTTATGGACTTCCAGTTGCGGCTTCGAAGTGGCCATGCCGGCAGGGGGGAGCTGTGGCTAGGGCGCAACACAAACTTGGAGCTATTAATAATATTGATGCTTAAAGACATGGGTGGGGGTGGGGGGTTTGAGAACCATATGCTTTGGGCATATTTGGAGGGCTGTAAAGATATTTGGAATCTTTCCCTTTTCCTTTTTCCTACCCATCTTTTCCCTAGATGCCATCTTTATGTGGCTACATAAATTTACCTTTTTCAGCAACATTTACAAACACTAGTCTTAACCAACCTCCTAACCTTGTACACAATATCGAATCATTGTCACCCTCTTTCGTGATCGTCCATTTGGTTTGATTCGTGTCGATCCATTATGGGTATGATTTGAAGTCGAGAAATTTCTTCGTTGGTTCGTTAATTTTTAAGTAGTGATTTTGTTTAGATCGTACATTCCCCCATGAATTTGATTTTTTGTTTTGAAAAAAAAAAGCTTGAAAAACTAAGACTTGATAGATTAGTGTGAGATTCTAAATTCTTTGAACTTTGTGTCAATCTTGTTTTGAAGGATGATTCTTGGTCGCACTGTTTGAACCTCTCAGCCTCTCTCAACTATATTATTATCAATCCCCTCATGAGCTCTCTTAGAGTACTCCTGTCGGTTCTTCTAAGTGTTACACATATCCAAGCAGAGGCCATCACACCCGTAGTAAGTCTTTTTCTCTTTGAATTTACTCAATTTTGGTCATAGTTTTCTCTCAATTTTACTAAGGAAAAATATGTTCTGTTTAAGAAAGATGTCATCACAAAGCCATTATGATAAAGTGACAGAGAAGCGATTAGAAAATGGTCAAAGGTCGGCTAAAAATAAGAGAAGGAAATGAGAAAAATCACGTTAGAGAAAAGGGATAGGTTGGAGAAGAAAACAAGTAGAGAATTACCCTCGCATCTAACAGGTTCAACCACAACCTCAAAACCAATTGCTCCGACCTTAACTTCAAAACCGAAGTTGCACGATACCTAGCAGCCAGCCCAGCCACTTCGACTCGTTAACCAACAACCCTGATGCGCGAGAGCGGTCACGATAGTACATTTTCAATCTTTTGGTGTCATGATCTTTACGCACTCATGACATGCTTTAAGGAGAACCCAAGTCGCATATTCATTTTTTCACCCATCTTTGTAGTTTTGTCGGCAGCGAGGTTTTTCTTTTCCAACCGAACACAACTTGTACAGAATTCAAGTTTGTTCAACCACACAAGCCGCTTGTACATGCAGGACTCACCGGATGACAAACAACTACCCTATGGTTGCGAGTTATCTCACAAAAATGATGACAAACTAACTAACTTCGAATATATCTCCCCTTAAACTAGGGGAGCGCACCTCAAAGGTGGTCACCTTGGCCTCAACACTTGTATTCTCTGTCTTACACACAATGATGCACCCTTCCAGTTAGATAAATCCCTAGGTTGAAAATCATTCGTTACTATTTTGTTAGGTAACTATTTTTCCGTTGAACCCACGCAATTAAAGTGAGTGGAAAGTCTAGTCGAAGGGCTTAATTAAGTTGCCAATTAAAGTAAGTTGCCAATTAAAGTGAGTGGGAAGTCCGGTGGAAGAGCTTAATTATTTTTTTGTTAAACCCACACAAAGTGAGTGGAAAGTCTAGTCCAAGGGCTTAATTAAGTTGCCCACTCCTCTATTTTTCTGTTAAACCCACACCATTAAAGTGAGTGGAAAGTCGAGAGTCGAAGGGCTTAATTAAATTGCCAATTAGAGTGAGTGGGAAATCATCCGGTCTTTAGCCAGAAATACTCTCTCTCTTTTGTTTTTCTATTATTTTCTTCTTTCAAGATTTTTGCTTCGACTTTTTTCTCGTCAAAATAACAATCGTTTTTCTCCGGTCAAAACAACAGGGGTGAGGCTCGAAAACCAACCATGATATTTACTCATCGTAGCACCAACCCATGTAGCAATATCGGGAAACTTGTAACATAGCCACATGTTGACACTACACTTGAGCCAACTTCTCAACTAACCACTTTCGTGTGGTAATCACTACCTTGACACTTCTCTTGTCTTCATTTCTCTTTGTCCACTTCCAATTACCCACCTTAGGTGTTAGGCGGTGATTCAATGAATACACGTGTGCTCGCACCTTGGAGCACATCTACGGAGTGGGCAACCATTCACTAGGGATCTCCCCCCTTGAACTTGGCAGCCTCTTTGTAGCAATGTTGTCCCCGATAAGAACTTTGCGTTGTGCTCAATTGACCCTTAACTTCTTTGTTGGTAAAGGTTGATACTATCTTTTAATGCGAATGGTTCTTTGGAAGACACACGACCTGGTGTGCTTTCTGATTCTTTGTTCCCCACATCAGAACTCCAAGTTCTCGGCAAATAAGCTTGGTTCTTGATTCACTAATGGGTAAGACTCATCCCAGAAGAATCTGACTTCAATCCACAAAATCTTCTTCATTCTAACTTGCAATTGTCTTGCCCACTCTTGTGTAGGACAAGCCTTAAGGGGGGAGCCCCGTATTAACTTTATTTTGCTCTTTGTAGCCTTTATCGGACATTATACGAGGTTTGTCTTCACCAACCAAATACAACTCATGCAGAATCGAAATTTGTTCAGCCATACACGTTGCTCGTGTGTGCATGTGAAATTATCTGCTACTTAATCAACTTGCCTCTACATTAGTCAAGTCATTTGGCTCGACCTTGCCTCTACTCGGGACCAAGGTCTCTCATATGCAACAATACATCTCATCTCATCATCTAGGTTCCCAATTAACATGGCCCACATGTCTTGATGTCATCCCAAGTCATGAGATGTCATCGACCATTACAACTCACTCGGTCATGCTCATCAAGAATGGACTCATGTGTCATTCATAACATCGAAACATCCCAAATTCCATCCATATAAGTACTATGGAGAAATTGGACCCTCCCGTGTCTATGCCATATCATTTACGAACTTTGTAATGGATAACATGTGCATATACCAACCTCCAACACATAGACAGGGGCACAATGTTGACATACCCGTGTTGTCTGACACTATCCTTGAAAGATCCATTTTAAAGGAAGTTGTCTGAGACACTTATCTCGCAATGCTCACCTTCGCTGAAAAACATATATGTACTGCAAGGTAGTTCACTTAGGCCATATGACTCAGATGTAGTGGAGAGCTGACACTATGTCTCCCCCTAAAGTATGTCATGAGACATTTTTAATTTTTTTAGAGTAGATATGATTTTGGAGAACGATTATATGGTCTCATGGAGGGTCCATCTAGTGTTAGATTAACACCAAACTTTAGCGAGCATTCAAGTTTCATATGAACGAACTTAACTTTCAAGTCGCATGCCTGAATTTCCTTCAAAACTCTGATTTTTGAAGTTAAGATTTGGTGCCCTACTTAGAAGTGAATTCTTGATTATGATGTCTTAGAACATCATAGATTGCCTCAATAATTAGGATCAAGCTAACCTTCAAGAAATTCCGTGACTTCAACTTAAGCTAACATTCAAGAAATTCAGTGACTTCGACTTAAACTAACAAGTAATTGAGCTTACTATTGGAACATATTTGACTAGGTTAAATGAACTGTACTATGTATGTATGTTTAACACGTAACTTGTGGCTTGTTTACGTGTTATTATTAGTGATATATATGCTTATTAACCATTGTGATGTATGTAATTTCGATTTATTGGTTCATATATATTACGAAACCATGATTACGTTAAGCCTATAAGATATCATGATAGACGGTATGATAAGTATGAATGATATGCCATACACGTGTACGAATTTCTCATAGAAAATTCATGTCATCAAATGTATGTAAGTATTATGTATCATGACCATGTACCATGATTTGAAATGCAGGACTTCATGCATGTTGTATGTCACAAGTACGATTACTTTCCTTGCATATTATGTACAGACACATATATTAAAATAAAAAAAAGGACGGTTACAAAAATAGTTTCTATGATATTAATATTTAAGTTGATTCACAATTTATTTATTATTATTATTATACTATTTGAGGAGGAATAAAAATCTAGATATTAAAGGTCTTATTTGAATACAAAGCAGTGGGAAAGGAATAAATATTATGGGTTTGGTGTTTGGGTCTTATCTTTTTCCATATTCTTCATTTTTTTTTTTTAATTAGTCAATCACATTGTGAAACTTTTTAATTGGAATATGCTTTTTTAGTGTATTGGATTTTCAGCTCTCAAAATACCATTGTCACATTCAGAGGACGAGGGCTATTCTAAATTCTTGTTCAAACGTCAACGTGGAGATACGTGTCACTCGTTCAAAAGTTTCATTTTTATCCTTTATATTTATCATTACTCCAAAACAACGGTTCTATCAACTCTTTCGTAAAATGAAGTTGCATTTATGTTCCAATTTTTAGATAATTATTTTCATACGGTTTCGTGGAAACTTGGAGTCAATAAAAAGTAGGGTTTTGAAAACGAAAAAAAGATTATGGATGGATGAAGATAATTTTTATCCTACAAGGTAAGAAATTTATTGAAAAGGTCTTACGTGAGTTTTTGGTGATTTTGTTTTTCTTATTCTTTTTTGCAATTCAGTCCTATGTGATACCAAATAAAGGAAAAATACATGAATGAATCGTGACTATGTTCGAACGAGAGCGATCATAATGATAGGATGACTAAAAAACATTTGAATGAATCATAAGTTACTATCTATACCAACAAGAGACATATTCCTTTTTGATAGCCCAATAGTAAGTACTCCAAAGTTAAGCATGATTTTCTTGGAGTAATGAGCGAGAAAAAAATATGCCGAAAGAATTCGTATTGGTTTGTGGGGATAGTTTTCACTCTTAGAATCAAGAAGTAAATTATGTGACCATGTAGAGAAATATCATTGCACATAGGTACGAAATCTAGATTTTGAATTCTATCTAAATCATAAACATAGATCGTTACATCCTAGTTCTAACTTGTTTTTCTAACTTGTTTCATTATGGCGGGTCTCAAATTT